AAAAAAACACCCCAGGAACTCAGTCTGGAAGAAAACATAATGTGAGAAGCGGCTGTCTCAAGCTAGATTCAAAGAGAAGTGAGAATCTAATAAAACAAAAGCTCAAAGGACAAGACAATAAATCACAGAGTAAGGTGAAAAGACTGCAGGGCTATGGAAACAAATTGAGACCCAAATGACACCAATAAAGAGCTAGTAAATAAACTAGAAGTCTTGAAAAAGCACGAAAGCACACTATTATCACCCCATACCACCTTGAGACTTTGCAGAGTCCCCACCAGCAAGAAGGCTCTTCCAGATGCAGCCCCTTGACCTTGGCCTTCTCAGCTTCCACAACTGTAAAAATAAATTTTTCTTAAAAAGGAAAAAAAAAAAAAAAGACCACAACTGGGTATACTATTTTGGGGTCAAACTATTTTCTCTGTTATACTTATTATATTTTCTAGGAAATTATTCTTTGTTTCATCAGCTTTGTCTTCCATATCTACTACATTTGAATAGATATGGAATAAGCATGACTGAAAACTGAGTAAGGCATAAAGTAAAGGTCTGAGATTATTTCAGTGACTGCAGGAAAAAATGAAAAAAATCATCTCACACAATCAAAAGAAATGTGATAGATATGGAAGGCAAAGGTAATGATAAAAATAATAATTCCTTAGAAAATATTATAAATATTCAGATACAGAAATCAAAACACTATCCCTAAATTGAAGGAAAGAGGAAATCTGGCCTATGTATTCTTTTTTTTTTTTTTTTGAGTTGGAGTCTCACTCTGTCACCCAGACTGGAGTGCAGTGGCTGCTCCCGGCCACCGCAGCCATGAACTGCTGGGCTCCGGTGATCCTTCCCCCTTGGCCTTCCAAGTAGCCAGAATTACAGGCATGTACTACCACGCCCAGCTGATTTTTTTGATTTATTGTAGAGATAAGGTCTCGCTGCCCAGGCGGGTCTCGAACCTGCAGGTTCAGGCAATCCACTCACCTCAGCCTCCCAAAGGCGCGGGATTACAGGCTGAGCCACTGAGCCCGGCTAGGCCTACGTATTCCACAAAACCATGTCCAAAACCAGAAGGCAATGGATCAGAACTGTCCAAGAAGATCTGAGAAGATGAGAGTGGCCCAAGAATAGTAGACCAGTCAGGGTCTTCTGTTTTCCCTTTTAAAAAATTCATTAAAGAAAAAAAAAAAAGGTATGTCTTATAGTTGTGGAGGTTGAGAAGTCCAAGGTTGAGGGGCCACATCTGGTAGAAGCCTTCCAGCTGGTGGGGACTCTGCAGATGCCCAAGGTGGCATAGGGTGTCACAGAGCATGCTTCCATACTATCTCTTTTTCAAGTATAAAGGCAACAGGTAGAATTCTCAAATAAGAATGAGTTCAAAAATACAACACCCTCCAGCCCTTGTAATACAAAGTCACTAGACAATTGTGATCCCTGAGTATTCTTTAAAAAAAGCAAAAACACTACTGAACAAGAAATTCTGCCCTCTAGCACTTGTTAAGATAAAAGCTGAGTGGTGAGCACTAAATCCACTGAAATGTAGAGCCCATACTGTAGCTGAAGGAATGATGGATGCAGAACAGACAATAATAAAACAAACAAAATTAAGGGAAAAGGGAGGATAAGAATAGTAGAAATTTAAAGTACTAATTGCCTGATCTCTCACAGCAGGAAATCCATTTTTCTGTTCAATATATATGAAATTAAATATAATCCTTTTTATTTCAAAAACAATAGCACATATATCACATTTTTTGGAAATTATTTCCATTTAGCTAGTTAGCCATCCATTAATCCTTTTTTTTTTTGAGTTGGAGTCTCATTCTGTCGCCCAGACTGGAGTGCAGTGGCCGCTCCCGGCCACCGCAGCCTCGACCTGCTGAGCTCCGAGGATCCTTCCGCCTCAGCCTTCTGAGTAGCTGGAACTACAGACGTGTGCTACCATTCCCGGCTGATTTTTTTTTATTTATTGTAGAGATTAGGTCTCGCCAAGTTGCCCAGGCGGGTTTCGAACCCACGGGCTCAGGCAATCCCCTCACCTCAGCCTCCCAAAGGCATGGGATTACAGGCTGAGCCACCGAGCCTGGCTCCATTAATCCTTTTAATTAATATCTAAAAAGAAAGATGTGTGGCATTATGGTCATCAAGTGTCAACACTGCCCATTTCTGAGAGGTGAGATATTTGGGGATTAGCTAATAGTGGTTAGGAATCTTTTTTTTTTTGAGTTGGAGTCTCACTCTGTCATCCAGACTGGAGTGCAGTGGCCGCTCCTGGCCACCACAGCCTCGACCTGCTGGGCTCTGGTGATCCATCTGCTTCAGCCTTCCAAGCAGCAAGAACTACAGGCGCGCACTACCATGCCCGGCTAATTTTTTTGATTTATTGTAGAGATGAGGTCTCACCAAGTTGCCCAGGCGGGTCTCGAACTC